TATTTTTATTATATTATGTGTATATAATTTTTTTTGATTTTAAAAATGTCCGCATAATTTTGGTCGTTGACTGTATTTGTACAGTTATTTAACGTTTACAACCACCACCAAGTTGCTGCCGTTGCTAATTTATAAAAAATATCTTATTACTCGAAATCGCTTATTTTTAAATTTCTAATCGAAAATATAAATATTCACAATGTATTTTATTACGAGTTAGTTGCCGTTGGCGAATAAAATCATTTCAGCTATTATAAGTGATTTTGTAATCTAAAAACATATCGAGTTTATGGTTACGATTACCTTGATGCATAATATTAGTCTTTTTTTTTTTGTTTTTTTTAATGCGTTATATATATATATATATATATAAAATAATTTTGATCCAACTACTACGATTATAGATAAAAGTGGGATGATAAAGGTGGATACAATGACAGCTATCACGTGAAATTTGACATTTGTTGCTTTGTTCCAATTATTTGGCCATTTATGGAAACAAGGCTTTATTGTTTCTATAAATAAACTCTGATTTTCCCATTTCTCTTCAAAAAACAAAAAAAAAAAAAAAAAATGGGGAGTTCTGTTAGTACTGATTTCACGTCGACTCCTACTCAAATAAATTCAAATTATCGTCGTTCTCAATCTAATATTTTAATTTCAGATTTTTCATCATCTTCCAGAGACAGAAACATACATAACTCATCAAAAATGAAAAATGAATGTCAAATATGTTTTGATTCACACCCTAAATCTTATTTTCTTTTAATCACTGAACGTTGTAATCATGAAATTAATATTTGTAAATTATGCGTTAGCAATCATATTTCAGCTCAATTAAGTAGTAAAGGTGATGTGGAAATTAATTGTCCATCCGATAAATGTTATCAAAAATTGCAACATGATGATGTAAAAAGACTTGCTAGTACGGAAGTATTCGATAGATATGATCTTTTATCACTTCGCCTTGCTTTAAGCAAAATGCCAGAATTTAGATGGTGTAAAAATTCCGGATGTGGTTCCGGTCAGATTCACTTTGAAGGAGGTAAATAATAAATACATAATTATCATCATTATCATTATCATTGTAAATTTCCTACTTGATTTATCATCAAAATTTTTTCCAGATGATGCTCCTATAATGACTTGTGAAACTTGTGGTGAAAAATCCTGTTACACCCATGATGTTCCTTGGCATACAAACTTTACTTGTGATGAGTATGATGTTAACAGAAGAGGTGATGATGAGGCTACTCAAGATTTACTCAATAGAGAAACCAAACCGTGTCCCAAATGTGGCGTAAGAATCATTAAAAATGGGGGTTGTAATCACATGACATGTAAAGTCAAGGCTTGTAAACATGAATTCTGTTGGTTGTAAGTTTTCATTTATTTATTTATTTTTTTTTTTTTTTTTGCTCTAAAAAAAAAAAAGGATAGACGTTGCTATCTTATTTATCGTATCCAATTAAGAAAATTTACTTTTTTAATTTATAGATGTTTAGCGGATTTTAATAAGATTAGGAGAAACGGAAATTCGGCTCATAAGAGATCTTGTCAATTGTATGCGTGAAAAGCAAAAGTTGTATTGTATCCATAATTTAACCTTGTATGTCTAAAGAGTTCATTTTATATTGCAAAATGAATTCACACACAAAGAGTGTTTAAAGAAAAAGCAAATGACTAGAGAGAAAGCCTTTTTATTTTCACAACATTAGAACTTTTTCTTTTTAGTACAATAATGATATTGATAGTACTCGTTATATTAGGGAAAGTACGAAAAGAGCGGATGATTTATGTATCAAAATGTGATGAATGAAATCCAAGGGAAAAATAATTTCATATGTTAATTCACATATATATTTTAAATATTGTACTTTGGATAATAATAAACAAAATATATTTATACGAGATTTCTCTAGAAGAATTTGATTTTCGTGGCATAGAATTAAGTTCTTTCGCTTCAAAACATTAAAAGCGGTTACATTTACCAATAAATTTTTTTTTTTTTTTCAAAAAAAAAAATTATCAAATTAATTCGTAAATTTTAACTATTGTAATAGCGCCCCAAACTTAAACTTAATTTATCGACCTTTCAACTTCAACTATAAGATTCTTTGAATTTTTTTGACTAATTATTTAAAAATTAAAACTTTCAATTTTGATAAAAAAATTTCCTAAAACTAATTCATCACATCTAATAATTACGACTCTTTGCCTAAACTCATTATTTTAAATGCATTATAATCCTTTAGAGTATGAATTTTTAACCTCAAGTTCCCTAATTCGTTTTTTTTAATCTCTTCGATCGTCAATGATTCATATTATACTCTAAATATTCCTTTCCATTTGATTGCATTTGACTAGCATCTCTTCAATTTAAATTCAAGTATTTTTTTTTGAAGAATTTAGCGATAATTCATATAATGACGAAGTTGTAATTTTATTCCAATAATGTTGTTGGGAAAAAATGATGTCTGAGTTAAGAAGTGCCGAATTAATTAATTTAAAAGAATAAAAGACAAGGTTTTATTAATAAAAATACAAAGAATCCAACTATTACTTCCTCAGGCGACGCTTTGTAATAGGTCTTAAGAGAAGAGATTCCTTCTTTCTAAACATAAAGCGAAACAAAGTATTTGTATCAGATTTTAGTTGACCAAATACTTATCCAAAGATAATTTATAATAATTTGATCAAGTTTTAGAATTTAAGAATTAGATTATACTTGATTAATCATGAAAGAAATAAAGTTTTTTTCTTTCTATTCGCTAATACATCTCAATTTTGATACAAAAATAATAGTAGATTAAAGTTTCTAAAAACATTTAACTAAAAAAAAAATCGTATAACCAATTTGTTTTTCAAAGGAATCATTATTAATGAAAATACAAATAATTAATTCAATAATTAAAGATTTCTAGTCATCTTAAATTTGA